ATTGAAATAATCATCTAAGGGGAACAATATACGGATCTACCAATATATGTTTTCCTCTCTAGTGTCCCCTTTCCGCTTAGTCTCCCCTCATGTCTCGATTCAGGAACACCAATCGAGTCAAGGTCGGGAATAAAGTCAACACAGAACTCAATGACCTCTTCTGTTCCATAGCCCTTGGCGATGCTTCCTTCTGGGCAAGCACGGTTGTGAACATATTTCTTCAGGACTCCCATGAATCTCTCTAAGGGGAACATGTTGTGTAGGAACACGGGACTGAGAATGAAAATCTCCTTGACTAGGTGAACTAGGAGGTGTGTCATGATATCAAAGAAGGAAGGAGGGAACACCAACTCAAAGCTGACGAGACATTGAACCACATCATTCTGTAGTTTAGCTAGATCAGTTGGATCAATTGCCTTCTGAGAAATTGCATTGAGGAATGCACATAGTTTCACGGTGGCTAGACGTACATTTGGAGGTAGAATTCCTCTTAATGCAACTGGAAGTAATTGCGTCATGAGAACGTGACAGTCATGGGACTTTAAGTTACAGAATTTCTTCTCTGGCACATTTATAATACCCTTTATATTCGAGGAGAATCCAGATGGTACCTTGATGTTGTTTAAGCATTCAAACATGATTTCCTTCTCCTCTTTGCTTAGAGTGTAGCTGGCAAGACGTAAGTAATGGCGTCCATCATCTGTCTTCTCTGGATGCAGGTTGTCTCTTTCTCGCAAACAACGCAGGTCCTGTCGTGCTTCAAATGTGTCCTTAGGCTTTCCATACACACCCATGAAGCCTAGCAGGTTCACACAAAGATTCTTCGTCAGGTGCATCACGTCGATCAAGCTGTGGACCTCTAGGACTTGCCAATAGGGTAGGTCCCAAAATATGGACTTCTTCTTCCACATGGGTGCATGACCGTTAGCGTCGTTCGGAACAGGTTAGCTGCCATGTCCTTTTCCAAAGACGACTTTCACATCATTGACCATATCGAGTACATCCTCACCGGTTCGGTTGCGAGGCTTGGTCAGGTGGTCTGCCTTCCCTTTAAAATGCTTGCCTTTCTTTCTTACGGGGTGATTTGCAGGAAGAAATCGACGATGGCCAAGGTACACGACCTTTCGACATTTTTTCAAGAATACACCTCTAATATCACCGAAGCAGTGTGTGCATGCATTATATCCCTTGTTTGACTGTCCTGAAAGATTACTTAGAGCAGGCCAATCATTGATTGTTACGAACAACAATGCTCGCAGATCAAAGTGTTCCTGTTTGTACTCATCCCACACACGTACACCTTCTTTATTCCACAAAATGAGAAGTTCATCAATAAGTGGTCTCAGGTACACATCGATGTCATTGCCAGGTTGCTTCGGGCCTTGGATGAGCACAGGCATCATAATGAACTTCCGCTTCATGCATAACCAAGGAGAAATGTTGTAGATACTTACAGTAACAGGCCAAGTGCTATGACTACTGTTCTGCTCTCCAAAAGGATTGATACCATCTGTACTTAAAGCAAACCTTAAGTTTCTTGCGTCATTTGCAAACTCCGGGAATTCTTTGTCGATTGCTCTCCACTGGGACCCATCAGCAGGGTGTCTCAACATATTGTCTACCTTACGGTCTTCTTTGTGCCATCGCAACAATTTTGCATGTTCTTTGTTTCTGAACAGACGTTTCAAGCGTGGTATTATAGGAGCATACCACATAACCTTGGCAGGGATTTTCTTCCGCGGACGTTCGCCCTCAACATCACCAGGGTCATCTCGCCTGATCTTATACTGCGATGCATGGCATACCGGGCATGCATCCAATTTCTCGTACTCTTTGCCACGGTACAGGATGCAGTCATTAGGACATGCATGTATCTTCTCGATTTCTAGCCCCATAGGAGAGACAACTTGTTTTGCTTCGTAGGTAGTGGCGGGCAATTCATTGTCCTTCGAAAGCATCTTCTTTTGGATTTTTAGTAACTCTCCAAATCCCTTTTCAGATACACCATTCTTTGCCTTCCATTGCAGCAATTCTAGTGTGGTTCCCAACTTTTTCTGCCCTGCATCACAAGTTGGGTACAACAATTTCTTGTGATCTTCTAGCATCCGCTCGAACTTGATCTTCTCCTTTTCACTTTCACATTCTCTTTGTGCGTCACGAATGACCTGACAAAGATCATCAGCCGGCTCATCTTCTGCGGCTACCTCTTCTTCAGCTTCTCCCATTGAAGTATCATTGAAGCAGTTGCCATCTATTCTCTATACTCATTTTTTAATACACTATAAATTTCTCATTTTATAAACAAATAAAATTAAGAAACTATAAAATTATCTATATCTCTAAACAATGATATTTTTAATGGTCATTGTGTTCTCGTCTTTTACTGCGGCAGGTAAGTAATTCACATGATATTTCCGCAAATTAACAGAAGAATGGGAGTGTACACACATAACAATCGATTATCTTTTATATTTATATATATATATATATACTACGTTTGGGTACGGTGATTGACATACTACTGCGACGATATCGGGACGTGTTAATAAATAACCATCCGTACTAGTTGACCTTGCTTACGTGATCATTTCGACGAGCATTTCTCCACCGGACGGCACCGTACTTGGCCACGAAAGAGCTCTAATTCTATGAGGAAGGGAACACGGTCTTCCAAGACCGTTGCCGCTCTCCCTCGTAGAATCAAAGCTCCTCCTTGATGTCCGTTACCGCTCGGCAGAGAACATGCTCGCTGAGATGAACACGGTCCGCAAGTTCAACTAGCTACTTTAACCTTCTTTCATGTAAATATGCAAGCTTGAAGTGATTTTGATCTCAAATTGCTTACAAATGAAAAAAAAAACCACAATAAAGAATCATATATATATATAGTGAACAAAATGGGATAAGACAATGATGAAAAAAACCACAATAAGTGATTTTGAACTTAAGCTCTCGGGCGGGCTCGGGGAGGAAGAAGACGGCCAGCAGGATTTATAGCTCAAAAACATGTTTTAATAAATAATCATCCGTACTAGTTGACCTTGCTTACGTGATCATCTCGGCGAGCATTTCTCCACCGGACGGCACCGTACTTGGCCACGGAAGAGCTCCGATTCTACGAGGAAGGGAACACGGTCTTCCACGACCGTTGCCGCTCTCCCTCGTAGAATCAAAGATCCTCCTTGACGTCCGTTACCGCTCGGCAGAGAACATGCTCGCCGAAATGAACACGGTTCGCTAGTTCAACTAGCTACTTTAACCTTTCTTCATGTAAATATGCAAGCTTGAAGTGATTTTGAGCTCAAATTGCTTACAAATGAAAAAAACCACAATAAAGAACTATATATATATATAGTGAACAAAATGAGATAAGACAATGGTGAAAAATGAGAGTATGAGATTGGTAACCTTTACAACTGAAGAATCGACGGAGAAATCGAAGAAATCGACGGAGGAATCGAAGAATGGATGGAGGAACAATGGAGGGAGGAAGCAAGAACACTAGTGCAGTGAGCTTCAAAATGTGCTGAGCTCGGGCTCGGGGAGGAAGAAGGAGATGGCCGGGATATAAAGGGGAACCTTTAGTCCCGGTTGGTGGCTCCAACCGGGACTCAAGGTAACTTTCCAACCCCGGGCGCAGCCACGGCCCGGGAGTAGACCTTTACTCCCGGTTGGAGCCACCAACCGGGAGTAAAATCTACCTTTAGTCCCGGTTGGTGGCTCCAACCGGGACTAAAGGTCCCTGCCACCTCTGTCTGGCATAATAGCCGTTGGGCAGGGACCTTTAGTCCCGGTTGGAGCCACCAACCGGGACTAAAGGTATCTCTAGTCCCGGGCGCAAAAAATTCCGGGACTAGAGCCCATTTTAGCCGAGGATCAAAGGTCTGTTCTATACTAGTGTCTTATAATCTATAGCTAGTAGGAGTATACATAGGCGCATTAGTCTTACGTACTTGTTGCAATTTTCAAGTCTCTAAGTGCTTCTACTCCTAGGATAAGCCGTAGGCAGGCATCCATCGTGTCTCTTTTTGTTTGTGTGAGCCGACGGAGAAGCCCTAGATTGGAAGTATGGAACAAGATAGCTAGAATGGGACGACCTTGAATGTCCAGGAGGGTACGTTGTTTCTTCTTCGTTGGTGTGCCGCCGCCAGCCGGACAAGCACGGACTGAGCACCACTAGCCCCAAAGACACTTGCATCCTGTAGACTGATGACCTGCTGCATGCGCTAGGGCTACGTACGCCTTGCGCCGAGCGATCGCATGCCTGCCCATGGATGGCATATAAATACTAGTTATGGCCGATACACCTTCAATCACAAACACACATAGTTGAGAAGAAAACACACACACATATATCCATCATCCACAGCTTAGCTACTAGCGATGGCGTCCAACAACAAGTCTGTTGTATTCCCTGCGCTTCTCACTACTATAAAAAGCATTTGTAGGGGCGGCTGGCGATGGTTTGTAGAGGCGGCTCGGCCAGCCGCCTCTACCATACCGTCTCTACAAATCATGCATTTGTAGTGGTGGTTCCCAGACCGTCCTTATAGATCGATTTATAGGGGCGGCTGGTGTTACAAATCGATTGGGGCGGCTGGTGTTACAAATCGATTTGTAAGGGCGGCTGGTACTGTAGCCGCCCCTACAAAATCGATTTATAGGGGCGGCTACAGTACCAGCCGCCCCTACAAATCGATTTGTAGGGGCGGCTACAGTACCAACCGCCCCTAAAATATATTTTTCCGCAAAAAAAATCAAATTACCAACACGTGCTCCCCAAATCATCCTGTGACGAGTAAAATACATGATCAAGTATCATGACAAACTTGACTGTAATATTGTGGCCCAAACAAGATTGTTTAGCCAAAAGTTTCTAAACATCTTCTATAGTACAAGAATCACAATAATAACAAATAGACTCATATTATGACAACAAAACATATATCTATATCACAAAAAGACCAAGCAAGCAATCAAGTGCTAACAAAACAAAAAGGTCAAGCAAGCACTCGAGAGCAAGCACTGACGTGGATCTTCCTGAAGGCCTTGCGCAGGCGGTACGGGACGTGGATCACAACAGCCTTCCTGCTCCCGGCAACGTCCATCTAGCTGCAAAGTCACATCAAGCATTGTCACCCAATGCCCAAACCAAAAACCGCAGGCTACTACATCTCAACAGGCGACAATAGATAGTAGGAAAAAACGGTAACCTTACATAGCATTGTTGATGTACAGGTCCTTGAGGTCGCTCTTGAGCTCCTGGTTGTCGTTCTCCAGGTCGAAGAAAGCCTGCAGGTACAGCAAAAAAACAGCCGAAAACACATCACAACACTGACACATGGGCAACCACACACAGAGCACCAGTCCGAAGGAAAGGAAACACAACAGTGGGAGGAGAGAGGAGGGGGATTGGCACTCAGCTCACCTGGGCGACGGAGTCCTCGAACTCGGAGGGCTCAAGGCCCTACAAAAATATAAGTACTGCTATCACACATATATACTGTAATAGCAGTGAAATGAACAATATGCACAATATATATTTCACAGTTGAACTACGGTACACACAAAAAAGGCTATAAGCAAAGAGTTGAGCATTTGTGCTGAAAACCAAGATTGAAAATCAAGCATTAGTGCATAATTAGTGGCCTACCGTGATGGGGCAACGGATGCAATAGTGGCGCAAAGTAATGTAAAATGCAAGTATAAGAAAGGTTGAGTATTTTTTTTATATAGATACATAAGATGGAACTCTATTGAACATACACTGAATTAACTCAAAATAACGAAATGAGTTCAGAGAACATTATGTTGGGACCGGTGGTGACCACCGAGTTCATGATCTTGGAGCTGGCTTGCAGCCGGCCCGGCTCGTTACCACGAGCCTGCGCTCCCACAGGTCACATGTCCACCGAAGCTACAACATATAAGGCCTTGGGCCTTACTCAACCCAAAAGACTAGCCTGATAGGTGAGGGTTCTCCCGCCTTATATGTTGTGCTCCCCCACCATTGCTACACGATGTGGGACTAAACCTCAACAATCTCCCCCTTAGTCACATATCGGGGTGCCCCGCCATATATGTGATGCTCGAGGTTTTTTTATCGGGTTTAGCTTTTCTGACCATGGGCTCTGATACCAAATGTTGGGACCGGTGGTGACCACCGAGTTCACGATCTTGGAGCTAGCTTGCAGCCGGCCCAGCTCGTTACCACGAGCCTGCGCTACCACATGTCACAGGTCCACCGAAGCTATAACATATAAGGCCTTGGGCCTTACTCAACCCAAAAGACTAGCCTGATAAGTGAGAGTTCCCGCCTTATATGTTGTGCCCCCCACCATCGCTACACGTTGTGGGACTAAACCTCAACACATTATGTACCTCTTCTATTGTCCAGCCACCCTTAGCTCTCCTTACAGGGCCACTTGTTCGCCTGACATGTAGGATTTGGTCAGTAACATTAAAATAAGATATAAACATTCATGTAATGAGAAACTAACTAGGATCGAGCGCAAAAAAGGACAAGTTACAATGGCAATGGCATACCCAGGTGAGACCAGTTACGAGAAGCACGGATGGCATCCCGGGGGGCAAATTCTTGAAGCCCTTCAACACTGCAAGTGGCCCGGTAGGCTCAGCTTCAACCTCGCCGTTTGCTTTTGTTGGGAGGTTCTCGTTTCCTCTATATGGTACTTCCTTGGCGAAGATCAGGGTTACAGCCAAGCATATGACTAGGAACACCTGTTGAAAGACATAAAATGTGTCTCTATTTGCGGCATGGGCAAAGAAAAATATTGCACGAATGTTTTGAAGGAATGGTAAAACTTACCACAGCCACCAGAAATGCACCTTTCAGGTTTGCACAGGCCTCACAACAGGCATTTGTTTTGAGGAAGGGAAACCACCTGTATGTGATGATATCAGTAATAATTCAGAATGCACATTTTTCAGTAAACCAATGTTCAGAATAGAAAATCAGATAAAGTTTATGTAGGAGTGGTGGTGGACTTACTTGTGCCAATTGTTTGTGGAACCAGAGGAATAGCCTAGGATGTTTCCCAGCGCCATCCAAGAACAGAAGATTGAGTTAGCTGCACTAGGCCCATGATGACCTGTTGAGCAAAGAAAAGCAATTACAAATCAGGTCACAAAGTCCACTTATTGTGTTATGTCACAACAAGTACTAGCACTAGCTAATCAACAAACTGTTAAAAAATCTCTGAAATGAATTAGCGAGAAAGTTACCGCACAAATCAGCCATCATAGCACGCGCTGGACCCTAACAGTTGGATGGAAAATGTCTCAGATTTACAATAGTGTGCTTTCCAAACTGCTTAATCTGAATTATTGATAGAAATGCACTCACTTGCACAGTATTGTTGGAAAAGTCAAGGAGCCAAAACCCCAGAACATATACAATTGCAGCATGCCAGCGAGGACCATGATACGCCTGCACATGCACCAACCGCCGGCTCCATGGCACTTGGCTGAACAAGGCTATGGCCTATGCACTACGGCAGGCAGCATAAACTTTATCCAAAGTTGCTCGCCGAATAGGCCGTGAAATCCATAATGAAACAAAAGAAAGGCGAAATAAGCAAACTGACCAATACAACAACTGATCCATTGGTCCAGGAGACCAGGACACCAGGTCCTATGATGCCTACACATATCACATACTGTTCAGGCTACAGGATACCTACATGATAATCAATTTGTCATGTACAATTGAAAAAAAGTTGTTCTACTATATATCCACAAGTACAGTATGCTTGGAGCAATTCAACTAGCAGTAGTTGCAAATAAATTCAACTTACCATCGAACAAAGCTGGAATAGATGTGCTAGAGGGCAACCAGTATTTGGATCTTCTTTCTTGTATGATCAGGATAAGACTTTCAAAGTCACTACTACGTCCGATGTCATCTAGACAAAAAGAGAAAAAAAAAACAGCAAAACCTAGTGAAGTTATTGCTTTACTGTCACTGTTGTCTCTAACCAAGCACCACTTCAGAGAAAAAGAACTACTCTATGAGTTTGTGGTTCAGTAATAATTGATCCAAGGATCACAGCTTCTCTATTCAAGTTTGATTCCTGGGACTACCAAACTATAAGCTTCTATACTGATAATCACACATCCGACCTTTTTCATTGTAAATTTTACTGAAAAACCAAGTCAAACGAGTAAAAACTAGATGGCATGTATTCATTACATCATACTGAAACTAGAGACATAAGAGCCCTGCTAGTTTAATTTAGAAAGACTACTGCAGCGGCATCTTGTAATTCCAATTGCCATTATTTTACATAGAAATTAGTCATGAATCCTATCTCAATTCCATTGGCAAATAGGTAGGATTCCTCTAGGCAAAACTGTTAATGCAGGTTGATGAGGAGAGAGTAATACATACCACTCCTGCAGTTCTGCTAGGTCTATTCGCGGCCTCATCTAGAATTATGCCGCCACCAACCTTGCCGTTAGTACCTCCAGCGTTGCCAGCATGGCGTCACATCCCCAGTAGGGTCCTGCTGACAAACCCGCTACGCAAGCACAAGCTCTAGTTATCCGATGCGAGAGTGGGGAGGGACGAGCTGGCATAGATGCGCGTACCTCTAGGTATAGGGGTGCTACACGCATGGTCGATCTGGGGCGGCAGCGACCACTGGTCGATCTAGGAAGGCGGTGGCAAGCCTTCACCCAGATCCGTCGTCGGCCAGGGCCTTCACCTGGTCGAGCCACCAACTTGCCAGATCTGGCATCAGGCAGCGCATTCACAAGGCCGAGACAACACCATGCAAGATCTGTCGAGGGCCATGCCGAGCGTCTGCTCCCCCCGCGCGGGCTGACTGCTCATCGGATTCAGCCTCCGTAGTCACGGTTTGGGTGCTCGGTTTCGCGCAGCAGGAAGGGAAACGAAGGGGCCGGCATACCTGGGTGCTTGTTGCCGGTGAAGGGCACGACGAAGAACTGGGCACCGCGGCGGCGGCCTGGCGTACGCGCCGATGGGCGGCCAAACCCTAGGACGGCGTGGCCGCGCCGGGGGCCATCCGCCTAGGTCGACGTGCGTTCGGAGGAGGCCGCGGCGTTCGGTGGAGGCGACCTCGCCGGGGGGCGACGACGATGGTCGGCGCTCCCGAGCGCAGCGGCCGGGGGGAACCGCCGCGCCACCAGCGCCTCGCACGGGGAGCCAGCGGTGGGGAGGAGGAGAGGAGGGAGGCGCGCTGCTGCTGCTGCTGCTGCTGCGACGGCCCATCGCCTATTGGGCGTCGGGAGAGCGAGGGAGGGAGAAAGCGAGGAAGCCTCTGGAACGACTGAAGCCGAGTATTTATTTGTTGGACTATTTGATGGCTTCCATGCAGCATTTGTAGGGGCGGCTGGTTATTGAGCCGCCCCTATAAATCTCAACACCGGGCGCGGCTAGTGAGTGAGCTGCGCCTACAAATCCGACCCATTTATAGGGGCGGCTCGTATCAACAGGCGCTCCTGCTGTTCCATTTGTAGGAGCGGCTAGTTTCTGGGCTCCCGAGCACGCCACTGTAAGGCGGCTACATCACCAACCGCCCCTACAAAAAATTTACCCCGTTGCTACAAACCGTTTTTCACGTAGTGTCTATTCCTAGCCGTGGCACTCGTGTTGACGGAGGCTTCAGTGCGGGCACCGGCTCCACCACCACCATCCCAAAACCCGTGTCCTTCCGGATTCACAAACTCCACTACGTTCTTTCAAGCCTTGGGCACTTACCTTTTACGCGGCATCTCGTTGATACTCGTCCTTAACCCGGTTGCCCCAGGCACCAGCACCACATTCTGCTATTGCTATCCCACTACCAACATCACCATTGGCCCCATTGTCGTGCCCAACACCAATGGGCCCCTCGCATGCGTGCAAGGCCCAGTATGATGCGCACACAGAATTCAGCACGCTGGCACGAACGCACGGCACAAATGGGCGCATACGCGCACCTAGATATTTACTCCTACTATATATATACACTACGTACTACGTATACGAATAACCTACTCCCGTCTGTGTGTGCATATATGCGTTGCGTGTATGCGGACTCTAATTCACATGTTACGCTATATAATGGCATGTAAGAGGAGTTGGCCCACAACCTACTATATATTATATAAGACAGATGATGTAACGTGTGTTGTGTTCGTGTTGTTGTAAGTGTGCTCAAAATACCAAATATCTATCTATCTATCTATCTATCTATCTATCTATCTATATATATATATATATATATATATACTAGAACCATATTAATTAAATGTTGTCCTTATATTACTCCTACTATTAATAAGTATATTCCGTGCTACTACATGTCTTGCACAGTTTCTACACATTAAGTATATATCGTGCTACTGTGCAAGACACGTAGTAGCACGATATATTTGTTTTCTAGCTGGCTATATATAGTAACTTATTCTATGGTTTGAGTTACTATACCGACTGTACTAATTTACAAGATTACTACAACTTCACCTAAAGTCCTAAGTGGTCTATTACAACATTATGGTAAATATCCTAATTAGTTATAGTAACACATGTATCATAAATCAGTACAAACATTATCGTAAACTGAGCTAGCCATAAAATAAGTTATTCTATGGGATAGCCACAAATTTGCCTTACCCATATATATATATATATATATATATATATATACACACACGTCAAAGTTTTTAACTCATATGTTGCATGAAGTCACCAACACTTATCTTTTTCTTCAGTTCCATCCTAGCAAAATCAACAAGTTCTCAGTACTCTGGCTTTGCTAAATCAGAGGTATCATCAAAATATTTCCATCATAGTGAATAATCTCACACATGATGAACCGGCACATGCCAGTACATATGTTTCTGATGTCTTTACCTTTGAGACAGTGAGTTGGTTCACAATAATAAACCTTCAAAGAAAGATTATAGTCATAATATATTTATAGGTCATCAATGCATTTGCAACACATAAATAAAAGAACTTGATATATCACTATTACTTACTTCGCTCGAGTTCATGGTGTATCGCCTGTTTCCCCTAAGATACTCACACACGTAGTACCCTCAGAGGACCGTTCCTGGTGATTGCTTGTGGCACTATATGACGAAACAAGGGGCTAATTAGTTGCTACATACATATATATTACAAATGTAGGGCATTTATTAAAAATTTACCAGCCAATTGGTATTTACACCCATCGGTTTCTTTTTCATTTAAATTGTATTGTCCACCCATGAACTTGTACCACATGTATGCACTGACGAGCTAGAATAATATACCAAAGTCATTTCCAAACTATCATCGCAAATATAGAAATATTCATGTATATGCATGCATACCTCAACTACTCTTGTATAAGTGCCAAGATTTTTTCATAGTTGTTCGTCAGGAAATCGGCTAGGTCGAGGACCAGCATCGTTCCATCCTCAGACCAAAACCATTACACAAATGCAGTGGTCAATGCATGTGTTAAGACCATAATTCTGTTATTTCGAGCTTATTAATGAAGACTAGGCAAAGGTAGACATACACAAACTTGTAGGGGGCCATTGCACATTGTATGTCTTGAAATTCGAGTGGTGTGTTTCATATGTAGGTCACCACGTCAAGGCCGAGGTATTTTTGCTTGTCATCTTTAATCTTCACAATTTGCTCGCTGGTCTTGCCCTAAAGAGAGTGGCCTAGTCCAATGCAATCCTCAAAGTGTGCTTGTTCTCGCTTATCCTCATCGGGTTGAGATACCCAATCCTTTTTCTTCTGTTGAGCATACAGGCCGTCATCAAACCTCATCTCCTAATCTTCATGTTGCATTCTGCGTAGCACACGCGCATGATAGAGACTCCATGACCTAACCATATATTAATAACACATAATTGTACGAGTGACACTTACAGGCACCACATCGTCAAGAATTGGACATTGAGTCTTGAGGCGGAACATCAAGTGAATGTCCTCAAAGTCAATGATAACCAGAGGTGGAACCAGCGATTTTGATTAAGGGGGGCCGGACATATATGATGACATCTCTAAGTATGATAAACATAGACATAAGTGTACATCTCGTGTTGTTGAGCCACTTTTTTGTCGCTTGGGGAGGGTGGATTCTTGGTTAGCGATATATAGTGGGTTAGGTTCTAGCCTTTAGGTTTTGTGGCTTCTTGCTTCTTGGTCAGGTGGTGCCTTCTGAATTGGTGGTGAGGGTGGATTAGGTTCTCGCTCTTCAGGGTATGAGGCGGTCATTAAGGCCCCTTCTTCTTCCAATGATCCGAGAAATGACGACCATTCAACCTATTGTCTCATCGAGGCCATGATATGAACTATTGATAACCCATCGCGCCTTGTGAAAGCATCTAGGCCCCTAGTTGGGTTTTGGTGATTAATGACAATACGAGATTACTGTGACTAACGAGTGTTTTGCAGAGGCAATTAAGTTATGTCATGGTAATGGAGATTGATTGGGCAATCATGGTTGTCATGCCCCTATGATGGAAATCATTTTGGTTTTCAAAGGACGGGCGACAAGGTTAAGGATGGACTAGTTCTAAGTGTCATTTGGTGTTGAAGAGACACTTAGAGTAGTTTATGACTTTGTTTTTTCCTTTGGCCGTACTATTAAGGGGGGTATGGACTAGTAGCTTGACCTAGGCGAGTCTAGTGGGTTAGGTGTGGTGCACACTTGTCAAAACTAGCACTAGGTAGCTCCTAAATAGCCCTAAGATCAATTGGAGCAAACTTCATTCACATAGGATTTTGAGTTGGAAGTGAATGGAGGGTCAAATGTTGACCGGACGCTGGTTCCGGTGTGATCGGACGTTGGCGCAGAGTCTGGTCAGTTCATTTGATCAAGGTGAAGTCGTCTGGTGCGACCGGACGCTGAGAGGTGAGTGACCGGACGCTGGGCGCCAGAGTCCGGTCGACTCCAGTAAGGTTCCAGAGAGCAGTTTTCGTGACCGGATGCGTCTGGTCAGTGCTGACCGGACGCTGGTTAGTGTCTGGTCACAACTTAAACGGCTCAGTGGCGGGTGAACTGACCGGAGCGTCCGATCACCCCGTAGAGGCACATAACGGTTTGTTTTGAACGAGGGTGTAAAAATACTTCCTCCATTCGTGTGAGGGATAACTTTTGCTCATTCCAACAGCTGAGAAACACCTTTTAGAGTGCCAAGAAGAGCAAGGTCCTAATGAGGTGATTGAGATTTGAGAATCCAAGAGAGAGACCTCATTAGTGAAAGCAAGAGTAGCAAAGTGTGCATCCACCCTTCTCATTAGGCTTGTTGTGGTCAAGTGAGAGTTCGTGCTTGTTACTCTTGGTGATTGCCATCACCAAGACGGCTTGGTGGTGATTGGGAGTTTGGTGATCATCCGGTGGAGCTTGTGGATGACCCAACTCAGTTGATAGCGGTTGTGGGTGATTCACCATGACGGAGTGTCAAAGAATCAACCCGTAGAGAGCACTTGATCCTTACGCGGATCAAGGGAGAGCTACACCCTTACGCGGGTGCTCCAACGAGGACTAGTGGGGAGTGGCGACTCTCCGATACCTTGGCAAAACATCGCCACATTCCTCCTTCTCTCTTTACTTTAAGCATTTACTTTGAGCAATTCAATTCTTGTCTTTACATTCATAGAATTGCCATGCTAGTGTAGGATTGGAACATAGGTTGCTAAACTTTTTTGCGATAGAACAATAGGAACACTTTCTAGGCACAAGGGGTGAAGTGGGCTAACCGTAGGGTTTAATTATTGCAAAGAATTTTAGAATTAGCCCAATTCACCCCCCTCTTGGGCATCTTGATCCTTTCAATTGGTATCGGAGCCTCGTGCTCACGAAATTAGACTTAACCATCTAGAGAAAGATGTCTCATGGGGATGGACCTCCTCCTATCTTTGAGGGAGATGATTTTCTATATTGGAAAATCCGCATGGAGGCGTATTTAGAAGCTCTAGATATTGGAATACTTAGAGCCGCCTCCCAAGGATTCCCAAAACCTAGGGATCCCATGCACCTTCAAGGCGATGAAGTGAATTACGAGAAATGGAATGCAAAGGCTAAAACACTATCTTTAGAGGCCTTTGCAAAGATGTGTTTAACCGGGTGAGGAACCACAAAGACGTCCATGCACTATGGTCGAATATTTGTGCGCTCCATGAGGGAACAAAGAGCGAGCATGAGGAACGCTATCATCTTATGATGAAAAAGCTTAATTCTTTTGAGATGCTTCCGAAAGAAAGCGCTAATGAAATGTACTCACGTTTGAATGTTCTTGTAGAGGAAGTCAATGGGCTTGGACTCACTCAAATGCAACCATCCGATGTTGTAAGAAAAATCTTGAGTGTCCTCCCCATTGACAAATATGGGCATATTGTGACTGTGCTTCATCAAGGTGATCTTTCCACCGCTACACCAACTCAAATCTTGGGAAAGATCAATGCTCATGAGATGTACATGCACATCACACCACAAGATGGCTCATCCTCTACTAAGAAGAAAGACAAAGACTTAGCATTCAAGGCTAGCCAAGAGAAGGGCAAAGCAAGAATTGAGTATGAGAGCTCAAGTGATGATGAAGTTGATGATGCAAGTCTTGCTCTCATGGTGAGAAGAATCACCAAGATGCTAAAGAAGCTCAATAAGAATGGCATCAAGTTTGATGGGAAGAAAAACAAGTTCTTCACTAGCAATAGAAGGAAGCCAATCTCAGAGATGGATTACTACAATTGTGGAGAACTTGGTCATCTAGCACATCAATGC